TAAAGCTGTCCACTTCATGTTAATACCAGCTGTGAACCGGCTCTATGTGAAGCCACAGATTCTCTTTTTTGACAGTTTTGTTGATCTTTATTCTCTTTGTGTCTGTGTTTGTGTCCGTGTTGATCCGTGAGTCTGGTGTGCTGTAGTGTTGGTTTGTTTTGGTCTGAGATGCTGGTGCTCTCGTGCAGTGAATGTTGTATATATAACCTTTAATAAAGTAATGATAACTACCAATTAATCGTACTTATAGCTTATTTTGAGCTCGGCAGTGTAATCTGCAGCCAGCTGTAAGCAGGTAAACGGGGTCAGACTTTACGCGGCAGCCGTGCAGGAAGAGCGACTGGAAAAGGATGTAATGCAATAGGAGAGGTGTAAAAATGCAACGTGGTGCTGGAGTGCTCTCTGTTTTACTGAATCAGTGAGTGTTTCTCACACTTACGTCAAGGAGGGAAAAAGAAACAACCAAAATCTTAACATGATGAATCCCATTGTACAGACAGCTTATTGGATTAAGTTATAGCCAAAGTCACATCATCAGCACCTGTAATAGCAATGATGTATCTTTAAGAAACATAAAGGAGATTAAAGGGGAACATTGGTGTAATTTAATTTATCAGTTGTATTTATTTTGCCTCACATTCATCCACCAATGTTTGTTAAACATAACAGGAATCTGCGATAAGTTCCAGCAGTTATTAAAGTGCACACTGACAGCAGCCTGTGTGTACTTTAGTGAGTTTGAGTCATTTTGGGCTTTAATTGGGATTTTAAAAATATATAAAATAACACTATTTGTATCCTTTAATCATGATAAACAACTCAGTTTATCAGAACTCCCTGAAAACAAATAACCATCGTTCTTTAAAGACAAAAACTCATAAAAAATATTTACAACAGAATAAAGCTATAAAATAACTATCTTGTGAAGTTTGGTGTTAAAAATGCCAGATTTTATTAGACGAGACAACAGATCCAAACCTGAAACCTGCATCCAGGTTCACAGTAAGACCTGGACCTGGACACTAACGTCTGATTTATGGTTTATTTATTTAAATACACAAACAGCAGGGGACTACAGGAAGTGGCGTTAAAGAACAGACGTAGAGCCGAGGTTTTCAAACTGTGAGACGCCCCCCCAGGGGGGAGTCAATGGGGTTGGGGGGGGGGAGTCAAAGATACTGCATCAGGTGAAAGGGAGGGGTGCATAAAACAAGCAGCTCATAGAGGTGATTAAGGTACTTTAACTTAGAGTCTGATTAATTATTCACTCAAAAAAGTAATTCAGTGGACCGTTTAGCACCACTTAATTAAAAGGTTGCAAGATAAACATTCTAATTCATTAATTTAAATAAACCTTTGAAGTTGCAAACATTATTTAGATGAGTTGACGTGCAGTTTGTGAATCAGTTGCCTAACTCGGCAATGGAGGTAGCTGAGGAGTGAGCCATCTCACCTCTTATCTCTGTAGAGAGTTGCACATTTTATGACACAGGTTTATGAGCTGAAGAGCGAGCAAGCGTTTCAATTATTGCACTAGTTTGAGAGCAATGTGGATTAAACAGGGTCGTTTTTTTTTTAAAGGCACAAGTTTCCAAAAACGTTGCTGGAGAGCAGAGCAGAAACATGATCACTGAGGAGAGTCCGGTAATATCAATCCACAGTGTTTCATGTTTCAAAAATAATATAATTCATTAAATTTTGTCTTTGTTATTTGATAAAAGTTAATAAATGAAAGAACGTGTGTATATTTTACCTCCAGCGTCCATCGTGAATAAACTTTACGCCAGAATTTGCCTGAGAATCGTCACATGTTTAGGTTTTTCTTCAGTATCAAAGAAATCCAGTGCAACTCATCCGTACGTCCATGTGTACGCTGCAAACAGGAACTGCTAAT